GGTGCGTTCTCTCAGTCTGTTTAAAATATTTTCCTCTTCAGCATCTGGCCGTCGTTCAGTACGTTCGGCCGCTGATTGTTGGATTCTTGACATGGTTTGTCCAAAGATTGCTAATATTTTTTGTAGTTGTTATTACACGTGTTTTAAAGTAACACAATTTTTTTTTTTCGTTTTTTTAAAAAATTTCTTAATAAAATTCTTATTTACTTTCCAATATTTATTGTCTTGGAAATACTTTTTTTCAAAATTAATTGGTTAATTTTAACTATTAACTGCTGTTCTTATTAATCACTATTGTTAATTAATATTTTCAGTTTTTAATATTAACTTTATGGATAATTACATTTATCCATTTAAAAAAAATTTTGCACATTCAAAAATTTTCTGCTCACGAAATCTCGTATTTTATTTTGAGATTTATTATTATTTTTTTTTTATTCGCGAGCCCAACAGTTGTTGAGTGCCAATTAATTTCCGAATATTTTTATATTATTTTTTTTAAAAAAATTTACACATTAAAAATTTTTGCTCGCAAAATCTCGTTTTCTAATATTAGGGATATTTTTATTAAAGCGAGCCACTCGTTTTTTCACATTTGCGTGAGTTCACTGTGTGTTTTTAAAACTCGCGAAATCTCGTATTTTATTATTAGAGATTTTTTTATAATCGCGAGCCCCACGTTGGGCGCCAATTAATGTTCGGGTTCTTTGTTTAGTTTTTTAAAAAATATACTTTATTTATTATATTTAATTAATTTATTTAATTACAATTTTTGTGACATATTTTAACTATTATATTTGTTGAATATCGGTTGTTTTTAAAAATATAATTAACTTTTTGTTTCAAGACCGCAAGACCGACCAAAGACTTTGGATAACGACTATTTTAGTTTAACCTTTGCTAAGGCTTAACCGTTTTGTTTCATTCCTTTATAACGACTGACTATTCAAAGTTTTTCCTTTGATGCCTGAAGTCGTTATTGAAAATCAGAAATTGGATTTTATCCAATTGAATTCAAGCTTCTAAAATTCCTAAGAATTTTCTAGAAGCGTCTTTTCTCCATCCAATAGGATTGGAGCTTCTATTTGCTAAAGCACCTCGTCAGCGTCTTTAGCTTTGGCGTCAGTAGCCAGATGACGATATCTTTGTCCAATAATGATTGAACAATTCATCGATCAAGTATTTCAAATGATACTTGATCTGTTTTGCACAACATAGTTGCGTCTTAAAGGAAAACAATTTTGTTTTCTTTTGCAACATTGTTGCCATAAGAAGTGCAGGCAGTAAGCCTGACTGAAATTAAATATACAAACGCGCGTAGGCGTTATGAAATATCTTAATGCGCAATTCTTAGATGCGCATACTTGAGATACAAAAATTATGTGTAACGGCAAAGTGCCGTTATAGTAATACAGGGTGTTAACTTGCATGTTGCGAACAGTTTCACACAGCACCGAAATGATTCCCCACAAAGTGTTCGTAAGGATGTGTGATTATTAAAGTAAACACACACAGATACACACGCACACACACACACAAACACACTTGCAACATTAGTTGAAGTGTCCTGTTTTTAATAAAAACGTTCGCCATTTTTTAACTCATTTGTCGTTGCGACTGCTGAGATATGCAAATTACTATGCAACATGACAGCGCTTCACCATAAATGCGTTCCTTCAAAACGACAGGACAATATAATTGCATTTGTTAGAAGTGCCACTAGGATACGTTGCACCTAAAATAGAAAGATAATAAGGGTAGAGAAAAATTTTATTTTATTAATTATTACACAAAAATTAAAATTTTGTTTAAAAATCTTTAAATACATCTACACTGATTAAAAAACTGCTCAAAGTCAGGCTCTCCAAAGGCTCTTTAAAGTGCCATGGTACATCCACACGAATGACATGCTAAGAGACCTTAGAATAGATCTGGTCAAAAAATATATAAGGGACAGAGCTCTGAAGCTATATGCGAAAAGCGATAGGCTGCCCTACTTAGCACTATCTAATGTCAGAGTAATCACTAATCGCAATGGGGCGGTAAGCAAATCTTAGATCAATCATTGAATAATCACGACGATTATGAGGAATACTCAAAATATATTAAATTTATTAAATTATTAAATTTATTAAATTTATAATTAAAATATAATATTAGAGAAAAAATTATTCTATTAATATTAATATTTCATATACAATAATTACTTGATTGTTCGCGAAGAGATAATAGCCCAGATTGTACCAATAAATTCTGAAAATATAGTGGAAAATATAGTGAAAAGACCGACAGTCGTCAGACCGACGACTGTCGGTCTGACGGTGCATAAAGCATTCCACATCCTCACAACAAAAATATACTTGATTGTTCTGACTTCGCTTCCTGTTAATAATATTTTTGTTTATGAGACCTTATATGTAAACCGAAACGATATTTTACATAGTTTTATTCTTAAAGATTGTAGTTATTTATTGTTAAAAAAATGTTTAAAAGTTTTTAATAATTTTTCATTATAATTGATTAACATAATACATCCAACAGGAGTTAATGAGAAATTAATAGTCTATTACAATATTGTTGCTGTGACCTACGCTGATCTGGAAAGAAAGCACACATGCAAGGATATTAAAACTCACATAATGAGATGAAATGAAGAAGGTCTCGGAGTAAGGCATTAAGAAAGGAATAGGTAATAATATTGAATTTAACATAGGTGCAGATAAAAAAATGTTACTATCTTAATGGATTTTTTATGTAAATCAATAGGGCTAAAATTCATGTGGGCGTAATTACATAACGCTAGATGGGTGGCATTATGAGTAATAAAGTTGCAAATATGGCAAATATTATATATATATATATATATATATATATATTGATAAAGTAGCAACTTTGCAAAGTTGCTATTGTGGGGCACATAAACAATTATTAGATCGGTAATTTTATTGAATGCGTGTATTTAAAACTATTTTTTTTAAAAAATTATTAATAATGAATGTATCTGCAGACATACATATTTCATTGTTAACAACAGCGATCCTTAAAGATAAAATTATTTACATACAAAATTTGTTAGTAAATTTTTTTTAAATAAAAATTTATTGGTATAAATAAACTTAACTAAAATGATTATTGAAGTTAACTTTATTTGAACAGAAATTTGGTAGTACAATGTAATAAAATATTAACAAGTTGGTAGAAAGTTGGTCTTAAATTGGAACATTGATGCTTCGAGTGCGGCAATAAAAATTCATCAAGTCTATTAAATTTATACCTAGGATTAATAGTAGAGCTTAATTATATTTACATGAATGAAAATTACAATACTCTAAAATAATTTTTATAAAAATTTTTAAAATAGCTTTTGGTTATTGTCACTATTTAATCACGCTATTCACTATTTTATCACGCTATTTTCACTATATCACTATTTTAAGATGATAATATTAGTTTTTACATTTTAAATAATATTTTAATAATAAATTTTAAATTTCTTAAATAAAAATTATATATAGAATTTTTTGTTTGTATTTATTTCAATTTAATTAAAATGTTAATTGTGCTTTCAATTATTTATGTTAAAACTAAAATGTTTCAAAAGGAATAACAGCTTTAACAGAGTATTAACATAATCTTCAGAGTTAATTAATTGCATGAAGATTAAATAAACATTGAACCATACAAAAAATAACAGTCATGTTGTTTTTCTTAAACATTTTAAGTTAAGCATATACATACAAACTCACATTTGTGTGTAGGAGAATACGCAAGTTTTCCTTTTTTTAGAGTACAAATATGCAATATTCATATAGATTGCATCAACAAAAGTGTTATAAAAAAAATTTTAAATAAAGCGTATGATCATTGTTTTTGCTTTTTGACTTATGAAAACAATAAAACACGTTTCAATTTCAATTTGTTCTTGTTTGTAATCTCGATTTTTATGCTTCTAACTGGACTTTATGTATTTGATTAGTTCGATTTCGGTAATTACGCAATTAACAAGTGCGGTCGTGATATTATTTAAAAAAAATTTGATTTTAGTTAATAATTATAGTGTATTTATTATATTAATTATAATAAATAAATGAAGTCATTGTAAAAATTAAAAGTGAATATAATATAGGCATGTAAAATATAAATCATTTAAAAAATAAAGCAAGAAAAATATGAAGCATCAAATAAAGCTTAAATATGGAAGGAATGGAATGGAAATTAAAATGTATTTTCAAACAAGTGTGAAATTATTGTTATAAAATTTAATAAAAATATAATTCGTAGTTGCTTATAATAATTATAAAATATAATATTAAATAATACACATATTATATTATATATATATAATATATTATTATATATGTATAATAATATATATCAGGGTATGCTAATACCTGCAAATTAGTGTAATCATGTGCTCTTCTGCACAGAGTCATAAAAATTGTTTACATATGTACATATAAGCCAGTAAAAAATGAGAACCCGTCAATATATATGGATGCACTACATTGAATTAAAAAGCTTTTTATTTAAAAGGTAAGTGATTGTTTTCATTTTTAATTGCAATAAATTTATGTTTTGAAAAAATATCTGAAGAACGTCGAGTAATAACAGCTATGAGATCAGTGATTTTGAACCCATAGCTCATGTTCTTTTGTTAATATTTTTCTTATATGGCTGGTGCTACTGATATGTTATTATTGCTATGTATGGTAAATACTGGTCTAATGAATAGAATATTAAAATATTTGATACAAATAATATATTAAATTTTTAAATATTTATTGGTTTTATTTAAAAATATAATTTACTAGAGAATTTTAACAATTTCATCAATATTGCAGTAACTTAAATACTTATATATGACATTACAAGAAGATCTTTAAGATAATTATTTAAATTAATAATTATTTAATTTTTTTTATATATGTCAGTGTTAATGACATTAAATAATTTCAAAACATTATATTATTATCAAATAACTTTTAGATCACGTGCGTCATTTTTGGCTGTGTCAGTAGCCAGTTGATAGTAGCGAGTGACCTCATATCGGTGGTCACCTGCTTCTTATACCGAAGCATTTTCTTTAGCCGGACCATTTTCGTCCATTAAGTCTTCAATATGAGCGTTTGTTTTGTTTTGACAGCTGCTATGTAGGCTGTTAGTATTGGAGAATTCAAAAAATTAAAAAAATAAAAATGAATTAAGCAAAACTTTTTAAAAAAAATTCATTTCTGAAGCAAAAAGAAAGCTTTAAAGGCAATATGAAGACTTTATACTATACATTACCAATACAGAAATGTTCAAAAGTGATTGACTAATTTAGATATGGTCGTAAGAACATCAAATATATAAAGTAATAACTTGGGATATCATAAATAAAATCTACTAGCGTAACATATAATCTAGTGATAGAATCTTATCAAACAAAGGAAAATTAGTTCATATTTGAAAAATATTTAAAAATAAAAAAGTTGTTAGCTGGATGAGTTTCGAGGTTACCGAGAATGAATCAAAAATGTGGTTGTTTGTGCCGGTGGACTGGTAACTAATGCTTACAAATATTTCAATGTACTTCAAAAAAGTTTTGAGTCTACATATATATAACTGTAGGTAAGATATATCTACACCAATATACTTTAAAAATGAGATAACAGTTGAAACAGTAAACTTATTCACAAAAGGGCTACGATAGTTTCGTTAGAGAGAAAGATTATGACATTCGTTCTTTGGCATAATTATGATTGAGTCAAAAAAAGTAAAATAATAACTGGGCATTATTATAATGCTTAGATTCTAAAGTTAAAAAAAAGTACTGCATTTCCATAAGAAAATAATTTCTTGTCTATACACCAGCGTCATTAATTGCAATTGCAAAATTAATCGAATGACATTATGGGGTGTAAATACATCTATCGTATTTACCGATTTGTTTGATTTGTTATTCATATATTTCTAAAGTTTAAAGATTGATCATTTTTGAATATAATCTCTGCTTTATTAAAAAATTTACAATTTTTGGATATAATCTCTTCAACTAATGTATATTTTTAAGGCTTAGATAAATCTTATCTAAAAAAAATATTCAATCATATTCCGATATAATTTGTGCGACTTTTACATATACATTTTTAAGGACTCTGTAAAATTATGCCCCATAGAAGACTTAAAAAAAAATTAAATACAAACTTTATGCTAATGTAAGCCAAAAATTATATCTAACTTATCAATCACCCCTCGAATAATAAGTTTTCTGTAAATGTAAAGAAAACAGAAATTATAAAAATAACTTAAGTGAATTATAGTGGTTTTAAAATATTTTCCCAGAAGAAACTATATTGGTACCGCATTTCACTATATGTTTCCTTCGTTTTGATTACAGTTGTAATTCTTAATGAAAATTTCATTTATTTTAACATGTGATTAAATACGAAGGAAAAAAATACAATTCTTGATTTTACTTGGAATTTCTTATATTGCACGCATTTTCTCAATTTGCATGAGAAATCATTTAAGAAATGTCATGTTCCATGCTCGAATCCAGTAGAGCTATTATGTGCACCGGGTACGACTACGGGTATGAGAATATATATAGTATGTACATCATATTTACATATGTACATATATGTTGTGAATATACAAGTTGAAGTACGTTTATATGACATTAGAACATAATCAAGAATTCTTCATGTTTCATTTGTTACAAGGAAAATAAAAAGTCTAGAAAATGGCAATGTTGATTTAAAATTTTTTTTTTTGTTCTTCACAGCACTTCGGTGATAAAAGAGGCAAACGTTTATTAAAAGATATAAAATGAATTTTATGTTTCGAAATACTTTACATAAGCCTCCTATGAAAGTTATGTACATTGGCGTATAATAGTTTTTGTTATTGAAATTCTATAAAACCAAGGGCGTAGGGCGTAATACAATTACATAATATTAATTTTTACATTTAGTGCATCTCGGTATGAATGTGTAATAAAAATTATTGTTGTCATTAAATATTTTTATCTTTCCAAAAACGTAATCATATCATCATAAGAACTGCATTTTCTGATAGTCTTTCGAAAATTAAAGACTGCCTCTTATAACATATGCATTTAATGGTTACTTCTAGGATTTAAATCATTTTTGGCTTATCCACAAAGATATGATTTCAACAACTTCCGTAAGAGTAGGGTCTATAGGTGTTTTACCACCGGTGTGATTAATCTTTCTTTAATGACAATGTCTTACATAATCGACAGGAAAAACTGAAGCTGAAAAGTGAGTTAGTTTTGGAAGGTATACTTAAGAAAAAGCATTGTATAATTATCGACAGGACAAACGGAAGCTGACGAGTGATTTAGTTATGGAAGATAAGATATGGAAGACATACTTTTGGAATAAGAAGCATTGTTTGACGAGTGAGTTAGCGTTGGAAGACAAACTTGAGAAGAAGTATTCTATAATAATCGACAGGGAAAACAGAAGCTGATGAGTGATTTAGTTATAGAAGATACGACACACTTTTGGAAAAATAAGCATTGATTGATAAATGAGTTAGCGTTGAAAGATAAGCTTGAGAAGAGCATTCTATAATAATCGACAGGGAGCACTGAAACTGCCGAGTGAGTTTGTTTTGAAAGATAAGATAAGATTTTGGAAGAAGAGCGTGAGAAAAATCATTGCATAATAATCGACAAGGAAAAACTGAAGCTGATAAGTAAGTGAGTTTTGGAAGATAAACTTGAGAAGAAGCATTCGATAATAATCGACAGGGAAAACGAAAGCTGACGAAAGTTGATTTAGTTATGGAAGATAAGATATGAAAGACATACTTTTGGAAAAAGAAGCATTGATTAACGAGTGAGTTAGCGTTGGAAGACAAACTTGAGAAGAAGTATTCTATAATAATCGACAGGGAAAACTGATGCTGACGAATGAGTGAATTTTGGAAGATAAACTTGAGAAGAAGCATTCTATAATAATTGACAGGGAAAACTTAAGCTGCTGAGTGAGTTGGTTTCGAAAGATAAGATTAACTTTTGGAAGAAGAAGCATTGACTGACGAGTGAGTTAGTGTTGGAAGATAAGCTTGAGAAGAAGCATTATGTAATAATCGACAGGGTAAACTGAAGCTGACGAGTAAGTATACGTTGGAATACAAACTTGAGAAGGAGCATTCTATAATAATCGACAGGGAAAACTAAAGCTAATGAGTGAGTTAGAGTTCAAAGATAAATTTGAAATGAAACATTCTATGATACCAAGACTGTAAACGACATTGCGATTTAGTTCGTAGTGTAAGTTGCTTAAAATATCTCTTTAGACTCTTAGAGTATGTTAACTACGCCACTGTCTGAAAAAATTAGTAGTTTCACAGTAATGAAAACATTCATGAAAACGAATATGCGAGTAGATTTGTGCTTCAATTGCTGAAAAATTTCAATAGGTGAATGTACACTTTAATTGTCTTATTTTCGTTTTTTACTTACTGTAGTAATAAACTTGTGAGAATGTTTTCTTGTTTATATTTGTACATACTTTTCTCGAAAAGTTTAATAAGATACTCAAAGCATTCGTGTTCGTTAGATTTGCATAAAGAGGAAGTTGCCAGCATTTTTATTCCTTGCATTCGTGTGTACTTCTTTCCCAGGTGAAAACTCGTAAATTTTCCTTTTATTGTGTAATTCAGTAAGCAGTTACACATTTCGAGAAAAGAAATGCGGGAAATATGTAACAAGATTTCAGATGATTTTACATGACATTCAAAGCATTGTTGAGAGTTAAATTAAGTAGTAAAAACTGAGCTGTCAGTTACTCAAAAAAAGTCTTTACATTACCAAAGGAACCGTAACAAAAATTTACCAAAGTTAAAGTATGTATAAAAAAAATTTACTCAATATAATTGTAATTTCATTACAAACAATAACTCTGTTACTTTACTTTTTTAAAATATTTAGAATGTAGATTATTTCATTAATTCAGAGAATTGATTTTTGATAATATAGGAACACATACTAATCACATACTAAGTGATACTTTTTAAATTTAGACGATTTAGCCTTAAATTTCAATTTTTTTACTTCATTGGCAATAAAAAATTATACGCTTCATACGTGTAATAAAGGAATAGTTGTAATATAAAAATATAGTCAACGACTACTGATTATTTACATTTTTAGAATAATAAACTTTGAAGGATTTTAATGTATAGCACGATTGTCTCTTTCTCAAAAGCGACTAGCACATAGCCTCACAATCTATTCAATTTTTTGTACTTTTTTTTTCGAGTTGTTGACACCTATAGGTTATATTCAAACTAATTTTATAGCAACTTTATAGCGATTTATAGCATCCATATAAATTAAAATCGTAGGAGTGCTTAAAAAGGGTTAAAAAAATGATAGAAAATGAAAGATTGGACAAGAATTTGAAATTTAGACATGAAAAGTATCAGTCACACATATTCAACACTACAGTATCGGTCTATCCTATAAAAATTTTTGTTCGGGGTGCAATTTTCCATAAAAGGAGGGGAAACTACTCTTCATCTTATGTGTCAGTGCCAATCTTTGACGAGTAGATTGTTTAATATGTTTGTGGCTCGTTTTTACACCGATCTGACTGAACTATTATTCTTTAAATAGAGAAGTCGTGCCTGTTCTTTTTGAATTTGTGTATATGCTAATTGCTTTGGGCTTTATACCAGCGTTAATGGTTATCTTGGTTTGGCGAATAAACAACATTATTATCTGTGGTTTTACAGCCGGCCGTTATTTGTGCGTAAGTGGGCTTTTAGGCCGCCACTCTAACCCAACCTACCATAAAATTTATAATTAAGACGAGCTACCGTTAATATTTGTATGGACTGGTTTCAATATGCGTGTAAAACTTTGTACTAGTGTTTAGTGTACTGAATTGGCTACAAGAGAGTTATTTGAGTTTCTCGGCAACAGTATTATCTTTTAGATTGGCGCATTTTTTGCTGGATTTTTACCTATGTGAAGTTTATGTGAATTGCATTGAATAGTATTGAATTGGTATTTATCTTACGTAGGATCAAATAACTGAGCAATCTAGGATTCTATGTGATATATACAGAAAACTAATCTGAAAGATATTGAGAAAATGATTAACATATGATTTCAAATATTATAGCTAAGTCTAAAATATTTTGATATTATTTAACACATTGTGCTTAAGTATTATGTTGGTTAGTGTTACATGTTAATTTTAATTTTTAAAATATAAAATATTAATTAAAATATTAATTTTTAATATATACTATTTACGAATCTAATAAGCAAATTTTTGTTTGAATTTTGTATAGATTTTGTATAAAAAATGGCAATTATTGCAGCACATTTATTAAGCTGGTAGCGTTAGCCTAAGACTACGAATATACTGGCTTGAATCGGTTTAGATTCAGTTTCCCAAAGACTTGAATATGTGAAAAAATCGGTTTTTATCAAATTTTTTGTCATTGAGGTTTGAAGTTTCTATAGGTATATATCTGATTCACAATATTACTATGAGTATGATAAATAATTTTTGTATGAATATTGAGTATTCGTACACCTTATATATTCTAAGATAATTTATAAGCACAATGTATAAGCGTCTAACATTTTTTTGCTGCCTTGAAAAATTGCCTGTATATTTGTATATTGAGGTATAATTGAGTAACGTTATAGCCACGTGTAATATGTATTATATTGCTTTTCTTTATGTATATTAAGAATCGTTTGTGTATAGTATACACAATAGTAAGTGAGTTTTAATATAGTTTGTACCTACACAAACTATTCCTGGTATTTCTCTCATAAATCTTTTAAGATTTAATGAATTTTTTCGCATATTCAGAACTTATGAAGTTCCAGCAAAATATATTGTTAAAACAAATAATTTTAGTTATTATGGCTGCCTATGAACCCACATTCAATTCAATATAAACCAAGTTAAAAGTTAAAAGTTTTTAGAAATTATTCATAACTCTCTTAATTCATGTTTGAAGTCGAGTTGTATATGTAAACGCGGTTGTCATGACACAAGTTGCCATTGACATAATTTCATTAAATCTACATATCACACTGAACGTTTCAGATGTTTCGTGCGATGTCTTATCCTTAGAGTATTTCAATACGCTAAAGCAATTACGGTGTCGAGCTAAAAGCCACAATGTTTTACGCATGATGTGTAAAAGTTATTATGTGCCTCAAAACTATGAAGTGAGACGAACCAACACAACAGATATTAGCATGAAAATGGCAACTAAGCAACTGGAACAACAACAACAACCACACCAACAACACCAACAGCAACAATATTAACCCCACTGCCGACAACTGAAATAGAAGAAACTCGGAATTGCGGAAAAAGGCGCCTAATTGGAGAAAAACTAGCAGACGACCTTTGAGATACATAACGTGTATAATTCAAAATGTATTCAGAAATAACTAAGGACGCTGCTACTCGATTAAAGCAAGGCAAAGAGAGAATATTTGAAAGCAGAAGCAGTGATGGAATAAAAAAATGGAAATTTTTGCTACATTTGTAAAATATAATACAAATTTTAATTAAAATTAAACAAGCCCAACACAAAAACAGCGCAGCGCAAGGACGAAACGCAAATGCAATATTAAACGGTGTCATCATTAACCTACTTTCGACTGTGACAAATAAAAGAGTTTCACATCCAAGCAAAAAAAAAAACGTGAGAAAAAAATAAATTAAAAAATATTATAAAAAAAGAGATTCAAATAAATATATGTAGATGCTTCACTCACTGTTGCATAAAAGAATTTTTGTAAATATATACAATATATGCAGGCACAAGAAGGACATACCTTCATGACATAAAGTGAGTGTACGTAAATATGCAAGTATTTTGTTGCATTTAAAAATAAAACATTATTCGTCGTTGCATGCCACCCACACGTTCAGTAACTCTGTACTTCTTTGCATTTGGAATAAAACACCGATGAATTATTTTACAAAATACTATATTTATTGTGAGTAACAAAGAAGAGGAAAAAAACTTATTAACAACTTTAACGGAATGGCCACGATAATTGGAATACAATACTTGGTGTCAATGGAGTTCGCGGATGTGCTGGAGACATTGGAGCCGCTTTTGGTGTCGATGTTGGATGTCATTGGTCATGTTGGTCATGTCCGTTTTTGTATGTGACAATACGATAATTACTTTAGTGTATTGTTCAGATGCACTTAACGTGCACGAACACAAAATAAAAGCTCTGCTAACATTTTTTAATGTCCTTGCATTTTTCGTTGCACTTAACAGCGCCGAGCATTAAACTTACTCTCATTTTCATTCCTGAAATTAGTGGATGAAGTTGCGAAAAGCGCAGCAACAGAAATTGAAAAATTTATTATTGAATATAAACTGAAAGATTAATGACACGCTTTAATGAATTGAAAATATTGGTCACGATTTTTTAATTAAAATTATTGGTCAGAACATATCAAAAACGTGAAAGTAATTTACGGTTTTAATAAGTAAGATAATTAATGAATAATTTTAAGCAAAGAATATAAATGATGACGTCGGAAAAGATTTATCCATACCGATCACAGGTTTAGCTTACGTTATATATTGTACTTTCTTTGTAACCACTCGTAACTCCCATTGTCGACCTTAATACGGGCTTTAGGTCGTTATATATAAGAACACAACCTAAAGTCCGGCAAGAATCATATATAAAAATAAACATTTAATTTGTCACATTCAATGTAGACCTTATCAAGCATTTATCAATATTCATTTTGTTGTCTGCGAAGTATACTCAATAAAGTACAATATAGTGGAACTATATAAGACTAGCGTTTAACCTTGTCTTCTATACATTTTTCGTAGCTTCATTTAGCTATGGTCTTTAACTTTTTCAACGAATTTTATAGTTACAATCAACTCAAATTACCTTTTTTGAAATGTTAATTTTAGCTTCGGCTGGTAATTTTAGACCCGCTGGTCGAACTCATAAGTATCGATCATATTCTTTAAGATTTTTGTTAAAAACTTTTGCATAATGCTTACTTTGTGATATGTGGTTGTGCAAGATCCATAAAATAGATTTCATTAAATCTGGCTTCTTCTGGTCGATATTTCAGCATAAACACCTAACAATGACTCCCAAATAAAATTTGGAATTACCATGATTGCAATCAGAAAAATTTAGTCTAACCACATACTAGTTAAATTGACCGGATCATAACATATTGTTAGAAAAATTTTAGCTGATGTGATAAAGAAGAGATGAAAACCAACATGTGGCATCGTTTAATCAACATTATACGTCGAGTTAGAATATTTTGAACTGAGATATTGTTAAAATCTGGTTAAATCAACCAAATTATGCTTCTGAGTGTGTGATCAAAAAACTAACCATGATTTTCAATCGACTTTAATACGGGTTTTCGATTTTCATCTTGTTTGTAAGCTGCTAATTAGAAGTTTATTAGCACTTAATTCTAAACTTATTATTACAGTTTGATTATTATTGCATTTAATGAAGAGTTGATATCTGTTCGAGATTAATATTTTGCCGACCTTAACATAGTACATTATTTAAGGTGGTTTAAGAAGTTCCAGCATCGCGAAAAAAATTATATCAATTTGAGAAAAAGTTGTATTGAAAAATAAAGATAAAAAAAAACGTTTCATTGACATTACTTCTCTCTAGGGGCAAAAAGATAGAACAAAAGTCAAACAGTCATATATCTAATTCCTATGTCTATAATTATTGGTAGGAATTAACAGCACTAAGTTATCTGTGAAGATACGTGATTCCGGGGCATAGACAGAGCTACACTTGGGCCCAATACTCTTTGTCTATGTCAATCAGTCATA